CAATAATAGCCATTATAAAAGTATAAGAGGAAAAAAAGACAAACGCAAACAGTTCAGTCAAATATATGCTATATGCTACAAAGTCAGCGCTGTACTACGGTAAAGTTCAAATTAAATATATAAAGTTAAACACAACTTTGTGCTCAGCCAAAACGATATGACTAGGAACAAATAATAGATTCATGAGACCACGAATGCCTGTTAAATATAGCCTACCCAAAACGAATTGTATCTCATGTTTAATCACTACAGAGACATCAGAGCCAGCGGCAAATGTCAGAAGGACTAGCCGAGCTGAGGCTGCTGTCGGCAGATACCTGAGCACTGAGCATCCCGGTGATCGCCTGGAGCTCCGAAATCGGCATAGCAAATTTTCAAATAGGTGCTATCTTTATAAATAAACCGCAGATTTGAGTTTTAAACAATTACATTCTCACCTGAAAAACTCTTAAAACTACATTTCATGACACAATAACAGTAATATTTAGAAAATCACGCGGGTTTTGGGCAATGACGTTTCACAAGTCCACAAGAACAGACAAGCTTTATCCCCTTGTATCACGCAAAAGTGACGATTCTAGTCAACCAATCAACGTTCTGCTGAGTTTAGCTCCACCCTTTTGGTACCCATTGCTGTGCTAGGTACCCCAACGGAAGTGTACCAAAAAAGTAGTACGGTTCGCTATTTTGGTACCATTCACAACTTCTGACAGTGGAAACGGAAATAATTGCGTACCGTACTGTACCGAACCGTACCGCTCAGTGGAAACGAGCCATAAGATCTCAGACTTGGACTGTACCATCTAACTGCTGCAACGTCATGTGGAAAAACTCAAAATGGCAGCAGCTTCAGGAGTAAAATGTAGCTAAATGTAGGGTAGGCGATTTTGGAGAGACTAGCAATAGCAAGCTAGCTTTCAAAGCATAAGATCACAGCCTCCCTGCAAATCACTCTCCAAAGCCACGCCTCCTCCAAAACACATGACCGCGCACCGGCAGAGCAGAGGCTAACCAGCGACACGATGAGAGAGACGGCGCTGGCGGAGGATTGAATGTAACGCTGTCAGATCAGCTCATTTCTCATTCACCGGTGAGAAAACATTACAGTACAAAGCGCATAATATTACAATAATAACGCCTTCCATTCTCACTCGGTCTGCAATAGCGTAACGAACGCGCTAAGGACGTATCATGTGTGAAAGAGGTTTGCAAATACGTACTTTGACAGGCAGGTAGGACGGCCTATCGTAGCCCTCGGACCGAGAAATATGATTGGCAAACATTTTATGGTCCTACGCCTTCCACAGATGATATAAATACATATGAATACATTTACACCACTTAACTTAGTGCTTGCTATCGGGATGTGAAGAGACTTTCAATGAACCTAACAAAAAAATGTTTTTGAACCAAATCACCTACCGGATAGGTAAAAATATTGCAAAATAACAGCTTAAAGACAGAGTAGGTCCTACCCTGTATTTAAGCTGTTATTTTGCAATATTTTGTTTAATAATGTCTCAATTTGATTGAGGTTAATATCTTGATAATGCAAGAATGATCTGAAAATATATGAAAGATATGCAAAACAGTTTAATGTAGCTAGCCCAAAATTGAATAATTACCTAATGTCCCGCTAAATAAACTATACATTTACTAATAAAGAATTTGCTATTGAATTTGCTGTTGATTACTCAAATTATGCAGATTTAAAGGGGTCATGAATTGAGAAATCAACTTTTACTTGAGCTTTTGATATATAAGAGGTCATCGTACTAAAAGAATATCCTTTAAGTTTCAGAACTGAAAACATCCTTGCTACTGAAATAAAAGCTTTTATTGACACCAGGCCCAGCGAACGCCAGATCCTGGAATGTGCCTATCTATGACGTAATAGATAGGTTAAACTCCACCTCCTAATTCTGTAGCCCCGCCCACTGATTCACGCATGACATAGTAGGGAAATAACGTAAGTGGCGCTAAACCGGATCGAGCAACCAAGCGATAAACATGCCGTTAAAGATCGCAAAATATAGTGCAGTGCCTGGTTGTGGAAGAACACAGTTGCTGCATAACCTTCCTTCAGATTCAAATATTAGGAATGCGTGGTTGAACTTTATTTTCAATTAAGTTTCAGCTCACGCGAGGAAAACATTGAGCGTTTGTTCACTTCATTTCACCGCGGATTCCTTTGTAAACAAGACACTGGTCGACGCTGGATTTGCAGAGAGACTGAGATTAAAAAGCAATGCTGTGCCATCTATACTGGATCCGACAGGAATGGCGCAGCACACTTATAGGAGTAAAATATATTTGTACTGTGTCACTATTGCTTTGTTAGAGATCGCTTGATATGTCCTGATTATGTGCCTTTAAAGATCGCAAAATGTTGTGCAGTGCCTGGTTGTGGAAGAACACAGTTGCTGCATAACCTTCCTTCAGATTCAAATATTAGGAATGCGTGGTTGAACTTTATTTTCAATTAAGTTTCAGCTCACGCGAGGAAAACATTGAGTGTTTGTTCACTTCATTTCACCGCGGATTCCTTTGTAAACAAGACACTGGTCGACGCTGGATTTGCAGAGAGACTGAGATTAAAAAGCAATGCTGTGCCATCTATACTGGATCCGACAGGAATGGCGCAGCACACTTATAGGAGTAAAATATATTTGTACTGTGTCACTATTGCTTTGTTAGAGATCGCTTGATATGTCCTGATTATGTGCACGTATCTAAAGTCACAGAAGGCTCCAACTATGAAGGACGTAGCTTGTCAAACAGACACACAGAAAGGCAGCTTACGATGCAAAACTGTTATCCAATCACAGCAGTGGGTGTTTACTTCCAAGTCTTCAATGCGGCACACCCATAAAAACCAGCGTTTCTCGAGCAGGCCTCAAAACCAGGGTAGAAAATAACCTATTACTTATTGATTTAGATGTTTTTGAATGTAAAAACCACGCGAGAGTCATAAGTGGACCTCGGACAACAGTAAAAAAAAATAATAAAAAAGCCAGTTCATGACCCCTTTAATATGGCATGTGTTCCCACAGAAACGCAGTCTGAGGATGTGAACAGCTCAAAATACAACATCAGGGTTGTCATCTAGTAATTACGACATGGCATAAACGCAGCATGGTCCCAAACCTGCATGCTTTTCTTTCTTTCTTGGAACATTTTCTTCCTTGGTTCAGTCTTCATAGTTTGAATTTGCGTTGTTTGTGCAGGGGTATCACTCACTGCGTCAGCTGGTCAAACTCTCCAAACTGGAAGTGCCCGAGGAGATCATGCAGGTGATTGAGCCCATCAAGGATAATGACGCCGCCATTCGCAGCTACGGCATCCAGCAGGCGGTGGAGATGTGTAAGGTTCTTCTGGCCAGCGGAGAGGTCCCAGGCCTGCACTTCTACACACTCAACAGAGAGGTGGCCACCATAGAAGTGCTCCGACAGCTGGGCTTATGGGCCGAGGATCCACGGTGAGTGACTCAGTTCTGTGATAAACTGCTCCTGTTCGTTCTAACAGGAAATCCATTAGGGATGCACCGATACCACTTTTTACAGAACGAGTCCGATACCGATACTTTCATTTTTGGTACTCGCCGATACCGGTATTTTCACAATATTTTTTTAAATATTGGGTACAGAAACAAAATAATAGTAATAATAATAATGTGAATCATGTTAGTTGGCTTCATTTAGCAAACAGATATTACCTTCAGTTATTTCCACACTTAATTATACCTGTTAAAATGTAT